GTTCGTTTGCATGCATATGTGGGTGTAAACGGTGCAGTTGTGATATAGCCATGGGTGTTTCTCCCGTGTTTGTTTTCTGCAGCTGTGTTTCAACTACCAGTTTGACAGCTTTGAGGGCCAGCACAAGATTGCTTGCCACTGTGGAGCTCCTGAATGCAGGAAGTGGATTAACTGAGCAAAATGGAAACGACGAACCCAAACGCATTCCTTGCCATAGCGTGTGGAGGATGCTGTGATCTCTGCACAGAATAAATAAGAGACTTCACACTAAAGTCATTTTACGAATGAGCAGAAGGCCTGAGCCCTTGGAGAAATAAATGAATCGGTGTTGGTTCGTCAACAACGTGGAATTAAAAATAGGCGGCGGAAGGGAAATATAACACAGTAGCAGGAAATGACTCGTGCCATATGTGAGGGGCTCTGTCGACGCCTCCGTCTGTATGTATCCGTGTGTTTGTTTGGTGTACATGGGGTGCGGAATCCACCAGCGAATGAGAAAGCACTGTGTGGGGTGCGGCCTTATTGCTTACTAAGGGCAGGCCCTTTTGTTCATACTGTTAATGTATACCGTTTGACTAAATGTAGACATCACTGAATGAGGAATGTACAGCAATGAATACCGCGAAGGGAATATTAACTTGCACTAAAAATAAAAAAATAAACAAAAAAAACCCATACACACACCCACACACACACACACAAGCTTTTAAATACTTGATTCCATGAGTCAGTTTTATCATAGGTCTCTGTCATGTGATTTGTGTGGAATTCGAGAGGTTTTGTATTTATTACTGAGTGAATGAATTTTATTCTCAAAATGAGATCGAGTTAAAAGAAGGCTAGATTGCTATTGTTTTTGAAGATTGAAGAAGACATGCTGTTACTTTTGTATAAATGTACATAAAAAAAACCAACAAAAAAACTATAGGAATAACCGACCAAATACTACCTTAACCTTCTCGATGTTTGGGTGTTTTTAAAAATTGTTTTTGTTCTGTTTGTCATTGAAATTTATTTAAGATGGACGTTATTTCAGTTTGAGAGTATATATTATGATTATTCTGTACAGAATTTGTAATATAACCACAATAATTCACAAAGTATTTTTGTTGTATTAAAAGTACGGTATTGTAGCGTAGTGTTTTGTGACTTACACTTACTTTGACCACTCTCAAAAAAAAAAAAGAAATATTTTTGTTGACTAATGTAACAAGTAATCGGTTACAGAATCAAAAAAAAGACTCTTCAGATAGTAAAAGATCATTGTGATCTGTTTGCTGTTAATCAGGTTTGATTTTAAAGAACTGTGAATTAGGTTTTAAAACCCAAAAAAACTGCTTTTTAACTTTTTATCACAAATGGAAACAGCAACATGTGTTAACCTGTTTTTTTGTTGTTGTTGTTTTTTAAACGTTACTTTTAACACAAATAAGGTGCGAACGTCTAATAATGTTGTTACTTAGACGAACCACTGCGCGACAGAAAGAATTCTATGGAGAACTATAGGTTGTTCTGCCTTTTGTTTTTGTTTCGTTTTTTGGAAAGAGATGGCATCCTGCTTATAATCAGAAATATTTCTTATACTGACACTTCACAAGTCACATGCTAGAAGCAGAGGAGTTTTTGCGTGCACAATTTCAAGTTGACTGTAAAATTTTGGAGACAGTCTTAGAACTTGTAATGTATATGGCATGTATTTTTTTAACTTTCCGAAGACTCAATTGTATATATTTTTCTCAATGAATGGTTGTAACAAAATTGTTTCTTGGATATTTTTTCTTCTCTTGTACGATACATCATCCTGCCAGTGTGTTTGTGCTACATTTTCTTGGTCGTGTAAAGTAGTCATTTCTTTTCTTTTTGTTTTTCTTTTGTTCCTTTTCTTTTTCGTTTCTTTTTTTTTTTGTTTCTTTCTCTTTTTTTGAATTGCCTTTTGAAGTGTACAGAGTATGAGGTTTGGAGTTTGTGGAATTGAATTTAGAAACATTTACAAAAATAAACTATTTTACATGTTAGCAATTTGTTTGTGTTTTCAATGATTGCACTTTCTTTTCTTTTAATTAAAGCTGGGAAAAGGAATTAGTTGCATGTTGCTAGCACCGAGTTGGATCCCATAAAGGTCCTGGAAACATTCCTCAGACATTTCTCCATATTGGCATGATACCAGCACCACATCCAAAAGGTGCTTTTTTTTTTCTTGAGATCTGGTGACTGAAGGTGATTTTCATGGTCGAAAAACCAATTTGAGATTATTTAAATTTTGTGATGTGGAGCATTATCCTGCTGGAAGTAGATTTCAGAAGATGGCTACACTGTTGTCATAAAGGGACATGATCTGCAAACAATACTCGTGGAGGCTGTGATGTTTAAATGAATAGATACAGGGATGGAGTGCTGTGACTGTAGCTCAGGAGGTTGTTTGATACCTGTTTTGAGCCATTCTACATGCCAAATATACCTGGGCAAGATACTTTCCCCCAAGTTACTCTATGATGCATCCATTGGAGTGTAAATGTTAGCCAGAAAGCAGTTAAGCCTAGAAAAAGTGCTCGTAAGAAAGAGTGTGAACTGGTGAATGAGGCATGTTGCTTTCAGTGTTGAGGTAGAGTAGAAATGAGCTGTATAAGAACCAGTTCATTTACTATGCTTCATGCTTAGGCCAAATTTGGACCCTACCATCCAAACGTAGCAAAAATTAAGACTCGTCAGAAAAAAAAATTTCTGTCTTGTATTGTCAAATTTTGGTGAGCCTGTGTGAACTTTAGCCCAGTTTCCTGCTCAACTCTAACAGGACTTGGTGTGGTCTTCTGCTGCTGTAGCCCATCTGCTACAAGTTTGGGGGTTTTGTGCATTAAGAGCTGCTTTTCTGCTTAGCCGTAACAAATTGTTTCTTGAGTTACTGTAAATTTCTTACCAACTACAAGCAGTCTAATTATTTTCCTGTGATGTCAACAATACATTTTTGCTCAGAGAACTGCAGTTCTGCAGGAAAATCCCAGTGGATCAGCAGTAACCGTGCCATGCTCACAATTAAATCGCCCTCCCTCCCCATTCTGATGCTCAGTTTGAAGAAGGTTGTCAGAGTGGATGTGTGTTCTGTGTTTAGTTCAACCAAAGCTTCAAACATACTAGCAAATAGGCAAATAATGAGTCATAAGTTATGCTGACTTCTAGATATGTTTCCATTCATCAGCTGTAGAGACTTTCATAAAAATCTTTTATTATGATCACAGACTGTTTATGACTTTATGACTGTTTATGGACATGTGATCAAGGAAGCCAAAGAGTTGTTCTTCTCAGATTGTTCAGAGTCCACATTAAATGATCCACTATGTCACAACGACTGAATAACCAAACATTTATAAAAGAGGTATTTTTCCTTCTTGGGTCTTCAGTCATCTTGTAGCGATCCCACTTTCTCTCAGAGCCCAGAACCCCCTCATTATGCTAGCATGCAATCTCGATGGCACTAAAACACGTGTTAACTTTCAACCAAATTTAGTTAATTGTGTGTGCTGTGCTTGCACATGGCTTGCATTTGTATAGCGCTTTACTCAGTCCCAAAGGACCCCAAAGCGTTTTACACTACATTCAGTCATTCACACATTCACACACTGGCAATGGCAAGCTACATTGTAGCCACAGCTGCCCTGGGGCGCACTGACAGAGGCGAGGATGCCGGACACTGGCGCCACCGGGCCCTCTGACCACCACCAGTAGGCAAACATGGGGTTAGTATCTTGCCCAAGGATATTTGGTATGCAGCCAGGACATTTACTGGGTATCACTCCTGTGGACCTGACTGTTGGTAAAACAAAAAAAACCCTGCTACATCTTTAAACCACTCATACTCCATGAGAAACATGTTATATAAACTTTGAGCTTGAACAAATAAAAGCTGAGTTTAATTATAGCTAAAAGCATAATTATGTGTTTCATTTTGTGTTTAAATAACATCTTGACACATAGAAGACATAGTGCTAGGTGGCATCTTGGCATGATGGTACGAGTAAGCGGGCAAAACACACTCTGTTGTGCTGTGCACTCTGCATTTGATTGGTACTTGGAGGGCTCGGTGCTCATGTTCTTAGACTACCCATGTGGATGGACACTACATAGTACCAATACACCTCGTGCAACATTTGGTATAGAAAGATGCTTCACTGTAAGCACGTGGAAATTAAAGACTGCTGTTTACACAGTATGTGTTTTTTTACAAAGAAACCAAGAAGTATATAAGCTTTTAAAAGTTTATCAAACAGAAAACTAAATAAATTCAAGTCAGCATAAGCAACGGACAGTGCACAAGAGAGCTGGAGGCAGGGTGGAGTGGGTGGAGACGAGTGTCAGGGGTGATTTGTGACAGAAGAATAGCAGCGTGAAAGAGGTTTACAAAAAAAAAGGGTAGTGAGACCTGCTATTGTATAAGTTTTGGAGACAATGAAAATAACAAAACGACGGGCGGTTGAGCTGAAGATGCTGAGATTTTCATTGGGAGTGAGCAGGATGGTCAAAGTAAGGAATTACTTCAAGAAAATGACCACTCAGGTTGGATGGTTTGGAGATAAAGTTAGAGAAGCAAGGCTGGGATGCTTTGGATGTGTGCAGAGGAGGGGCAGTGGATGTACTGACAAAGGATGCTGAATATGGATCTGCCAGGCAGGAGGAAAAAAGGAAGCCTGCAGAGAAAACTCCTGGATGTATAGTGAAGCTGGGCATACAGAGGAGCATGGGGACAGGGTGAGGTGGAGTCAGGTGTGGCAATGAAGATGATAAGATAACTCTTTGTTATTGCACAGTCATACATAGTACAGTAGTACAATGAGATTGGAAAACTGTCCTACGTCGGCACTACATATAACACAACACGACACGATATGACACATCACAATGCAACACAAACAACACAACACAGTATATTAACTTAGTAATAAAAAAAGAACAATAAGTGTGTGTGTATTGCACACTGTTATTATTGCACATTAATTATTATTGCACCTTGTTATAAATAAAAATATTATTATTATTATTGTTTTAAACATTGTTACCTCCCCCCCCCCAAAAAAAAGTCCAGGTAGGTAGCCAGTCAGATCAGCTATTTGCATTATCAGGGCTATTGCCCTGTTGTAAAAGCTGTCCTTGAGTCTGTTTGTCTGGGACCTCAGTAGCCTGAACCTCCTGCCAGATGGCAGCAGCTTAAGCACCCGGTGTCCTGGGAGTGTTCCATCCTGTAGGATGCTGCGTGCCCTCTTGAGACAGCGAGTGCTGTACAGGTCCTTCAGGGAGGGAAGAGGATGTCCAATGATTTTTTGGGCCATATTAATGACCCTCTGGAGTGCCTTTCTGTGTGCTGTGGTGCAGCTGGAGAACCACACACCGATGCAATATGTCAGCACACTTTCAATGGAACAGCGGTAGAAGACGGTCAGCAGCTCCTTCTTCAGGACCATTTTTCTGAGGATTCTCAGAAAGTGGAGACGCTGTTGGGCCTTCTTTAAAACCGCAGAGGTGTTAGAGCTCCATTGGAGGTCTGTGTCTATGTGCACACCCAGAAACTTGAAACTGGAGACCCTTTCCACACACTCCCCATTGATGCTGACAGGCTGCAGCTCGGACTTCCTCCTTCTGAAGTCAACTACCAGTTCTTTTGTCTTGTTGGTATTGAAGTCCAGGTTGTTGTCTACACACCAATCTGACAGCCTCTGAACTTCATCTCTGTATGCCATCTCATCTCCCCCTGAGATGAGCCCCACCACGGTGGTATCATCTGCAAACTTGATGACTGTGTTGTCTGGGTGGGAACTAACACAGTCATGTGTGTACAGAGTGTACAGTAGGGGACTCAGGGATCAGTGACTGAGCAACTGCTGCAAATCACTAAAATGATCCTAACTTATAAATAACCTCAATGCAGTGCATTTACACTTAGAACTTGTCAGTGTAAAAAAACCCAAAACCCTGTAACAACACATTTAATCCCTGAGATATCTTTATATAAGAAAAAAAAACAGTTCTGGTAGCTTGCTGCCCAGAAAGTTTATTTATTTTTACTGTGGACTCCTTGGGAAAGGAAATGACATTTCTATAGTAGATAGAGGGGTAAAAAGACAAACCAGGAACTTGTTGGTCATTTAATTGTTTATTTATTACTTAATTAGTTTGGTTTAGTGTAAATACCTGCGGGGGAGGTGTTTATCAATAGCAGAAGCTGAAAAAACTTCAGAAAATACAGCTAAAATTCACAAAATTGTCTCTCCACATTTTACAGAACTCACCAGTGGACCCGATGGAAGTCTTTACCGGGGCGATTCTGTCCCCAGGGCCTTATGTTTGACACCCTTGAGATGCACGTGAAAATAGTAGCAACGGTTTATTAAAGTATGAACTTCAAGCACAGAGCTACTACAAAATCAAACAAATGTTTTTAACTCCGTTTAAGGACAGAGAAGCATGTTGATATATATATTTTTAAATCCCTGCAGCTGTGGAGGTTACCACACAGCTGTCAGGCCTGCATTTAACTTTGAAAGAAACACGGAAAGAGTAAGATAAACACGCTGTAAGATGCAGGCGGTATAAAGTACCGGTCACGATTCCTCCATTTTATTCGCACTAATTATTGTTGTTGTTGTTGTTGTTTTTAAGCTTTTCATTCATATCCAGCCAGAATCAGAGTGGCACTGACATCTGTCGGTGAAACATCTGCACAAGTCAGCTCCGCGCGCTGCTGTGTCAAACATGTTGTTCCCTTTAAAATGTGTTTGTTAGGGGTTTGTTTTTGTTGCTGTTGCCTTTTTCTCGAAGAAGTGTGAAAGAACAACGCTTCAGAAAACCGAACAGTGCCTTCAGATTTACAAATTCACGGACAGCAGCTTCCGGGGCTGTGCGACCAAAGAAGCTACAGGAAGTATAGTTTTTACCGCACTTATCCTCAGAAATGAAACGGCGGAGGCGTTTCTTTTCTCTGTAGATTTAATACCGAGGCGAAAAGGACCGCGGGAGGTCTCAGTTTCCTCTTCTGGGGAGGGTGGGGTTAAATACAGTGTGACATAACACCTGTAAGCAGTCCTCGCTGTTGCACGCCTTCTAATTTTTTGTGAACATGTGTGTGCCCTGCCTCTCTTTTTTTTTTTTTACGGCCAAACCTACTTCCTGGTGGATGAGGCAGCTCCTCAGTGTTGTCGAGGCTAAAGGAAAGGTGGAGGCGGCTGTAGACGGTGTGCAGAAGCGATACAGCAGTTTTTATCCCAGTACACTTTATTAGTAGTATTTTGTACTTTTATTTTTTAAGGTGTTGCGCGTTTGCAGGAAAAAAAAACCCCAAAACAAAACATGGGAAGCACGGTGATGGAGTCCAGCAAGGGGAGCTCAAAGAAAATACCAAAGAAGAGGAGAAGTCTGCGGATTAACATGCCAGTAAGTCGGTGACGTATCAAATAATTTGGCTTCTTACTGAGACTCTATGGTGGGGTGGGTGGGGTAAAAGGCTGTAACTTTGAGTGGGCTTTAGCCGATTTCGGTGCATCGCAGTCTGCGAGCGCACGCGACGCATAAGAGCGTGCGTGACTGACAGTTGTCTCTGAGTCAGGACTCGGTTAACCTGTCCTAATGGCATGTAAACGCTCCCTATAAACACTCAGAAACGTGTTTTGCCTCTTTGCATTGAGCATGGGCAGCAGTTCTACCTTTATTGTGATTGTAGCCACCTCCCATGTTAGGGCTGCAACTATTGTTTACATATCATGTTTACAAAAATTTGTTATTATTCCAATAATAATTGTGGGGAAAGAAAAATCCCAACACAGAGTCCCTGGTGAGATCCTGTTTTTCTAATGCAAACCCAACATTATTCGGTCTACTCTGGCACAAAAACAGGCGATGACACTGCTGATCTAATACTGCCTTGATTTACAGTTTTCTCTGTTTATTAAACTGGGTAATAACTATTTGCAATTGTGTAATCATTTTCTGCACAAGCTCCACAAAGCCTAGTTGTTATTGCGGGAGGCTTTATAGCTTTATTGTACCTCATGTTTCAAAAAAGTTTGGTCACTCTGTCCTGACAACTGCTTCTCTCCTGGTAGCATTTGTTTTTGCATGGATCCACTATCAGATCCAGTGTGCTGCATAATTTGCTCGAGAATAACAAATGGACAAGTGCAAAATTTCAGCTTTATAGGCTGGAAAAACCTTCCCAGTGTGGCGTAAACCTTATGAATGCAGCTCTGTTTCTGTGGTTAATGCTCAAGTGTTAGATGTTGGAGCTTTCCATCGCTATGTGAACTTCCCCATTCTAAAAAAATCATGGTGGAAAGTCTATTACAGCTGCATAAAAAATAAAATAACAGTACAGCTCTGCAAACTCGCCTAGTTACGTCTGTGCAGTTAAAACTGCCTTTCTGCAGCAACATGCATGGCATCATCGGCCTGAAGTGTAATGTCAAAACCAGCCCACAGTATGGGGAAGAAGAGTTTTGCCTTTCATTGTCCTGCAGAAGTTTCCGCAGTGGCAACACATGTTTACCTTCTTTTTGAATGTCAGGCTAAGAGTCAAAAGCAGGTGGGGTTAACCTATTTTCACGTAAAAGCGGACAAAAGGACATAAAGTGTCAGTTTTATGTTTCTGTTGTGTTTCCGGGTGAAGTTTGCTTTATCCCTGATGCTCAGATCTCTCTTCATGTGCAGGATTTCGGGGCGTTTAATGCCCCTCAAGTGGAGACGAGTGGCTCAACCAAAAGCGGAGCCCACACGGTACATTTTGAAAGATTTTTGTGAAATGATTCATTCACCTGCCAACTGTTCTTTTTGTTTTCCTGAGCTTGCTTTTCTTGCCACGCATCTATCTGCTCATTAAATGTGAATTTGCAAGAGCAAAATATTAGACAAGGTCATCCTCTCCAATTCTGCCAACCCGCACTGGCTTACAGTAACATTACTCCCACAGTGTCCAGGCATAGCACCAGCACATACAGGAAATTGATTTTTCTAAAAGAAAGCAGTCTCTTCCTACTGTCTCCTCCAGTTGATTTGAATAGGAACCAACTAACCATCCACTGTTACCTCATATCAGCCAAAATGCATATTATCTCAGTAATATTTGCGTGGTGCAGGTAAAAACCTGCATCGCCTTGTGTTTTGTAGGAGCAGATCTGTATCCACGCTAAACCCTGATAGCTGGTTCACTTGCCTTAACAGGCTCTTGCACAATGAAAGGGTGAGATTTGTTGGCAAACAACAAAGATGGGTGTGTGCTCTCAGATAGTTAGGGGATTGGTTTGAATAAAAATGTGTTTGTGGAGCAGGACCAGCCCTTAGCGTACGGCAAAACTGAGCTTCTTCTTGATTTCTTCTTCTTTTTGAGTTCTAGTATTAATATCAGACATCTTTTTTATGTCCCATTAGACCTCAGTGTTTATTTTCTTTTTCTCTCCACAACATGCAGTTTATCTGTTTCGGTGGGAGTAGTTATTCTCCACAGACTGTTACTACAACACCCCTGTTGCATTTAACTGTTTTCAGTAATAACAGCCCCTGAGCCGGAGATCCCTGCATAATCAAAAGCTTCACTGTATGGTGAGCCCACAAACGGTTAAAAGATTTGTTGTTGGCACATCCAGAGCAGGCAGCCGTCAGCGGTGGGAGGAGGCCCTCTCTGTCTCCAGCTAGATTGGCTGCCATCTCTCGTGTTTTGTTTTGGTATGGGCACAGCAAAGAGAGAAGGATTTCTCCATCTGTTTACACGATATCGACCTTGCAAAGGCACACTCATAAACACAGAAGGCCCAACTGAAAAATATTGTTACCGCAGTTTTAAGTAAGAGGAGTGCTGATCGTCTGATAGTGGATGTTATGGTGTCCTTACTGATTTGTCATATCACGTGGCGCTCCTCCGAACTGCATACCATGGCAACATAACAGAAAGACAGGTTTTGCACGATAAGGCACAGTTCTTTGTAGAAAAACAAATATCTATGCGCTCATGCATCACTTGTTTTTTTTTCCCTGGTTGTTAGAATGTGTACTGATCAGTATTTTTAGTCTTTATAGTGTCTTTTACCACAACTGTAGTGTGATTGCACATGTGCCTTATTGCAGCTTGCATATGAAACTTCTCATACTGCTCTTTAGGAGACACCATTAACTGTCACAAAGCGACCAACTATACAAAACTTGTTTTTTGTTTTTTTAAAAAAAGGAGAAGTGACCAAAGAAGTGCAATCAGCAGCTGTCATTTCACAAAAAATCTCTTCACTACTTTTGCTTTTTTCAGTACAGCCCCTTGCTTTGCACTGCACTTGCTGTCTCTCATAACAGTGGCTACACGCTTAAACGTAAACCATGCAATTGCAAATGTGCATAAATAAATAAATCTGCTTTCTTATTATCTCTCAGGGAGAGCGACTCATTCGTTCAGCCAGCCCCATCAAAGGAGGTTCTGCCAAGAGCCCGGACGTCACCACACTGCCTCCGTGTCCCCAGTCTGCTCCAGTTCAATCAAAGCCAAATTCAAGTTCTCCCAAAAGTATCTTCCCTTATCCCTCCCATCAGAACTCCCCTAAGTCCCCTCGTCGACTGAGCTTCAGCGGTATCTTCCGGTCGTCCGGTTCTCCCTCTTCGAGCATCAAACTCTTTTCCAGAACCAGGAGAGGTAAGTAGAAATGCAAACACTGCACTGCCTGCAACCTGCTTGTTGCATTGCAGTGTTCATGAATCCATTGTTGGAATCTTTGTTTTAATAGTTTTAAGAATGCATGCAAAAAACTCGTGCAAATATTTGAAGTCCTCTTTTAAAGCAGAGTTCTAAGAGGAAGACGCTTGTAAAGGAAGTAAGACACAATAGATGAAACTGTCATTTCAAAGATTATTTGGTTTTCCTGCTGTACGTACATGAGGTAAAACCCCCACACAGGAACCAAGGCGTCTGCATTTTCAGTTCATCAGTTCAGATATCAGATATCTGACAATGTCGGTTCACCTCAGGACAAAGTTCAATCAGCTGAGGTGCAGAGAACAATATTTATTTTGTCACACCAGAGAACGGCACACAAAACGGTGCGCTCCTTTTGATACCCGACTGGTTTCAGAGAACCTTTAATTCTCACAATTGCAGATCTAGTCTCTCTCCTATAGATAAATAAGAAATAAACCAAAATAACAAGAAATTTAAAAAGAAAAACACCTGTATAAATTAGACACTCATTCACCGAACCACTCCCACTACCTCTCCCTGTATCTCCTTTTATCAGCTTCCATATTTTGTAGCAATAAGGAAGTGGAGTTTTTGGTTTTCTCTGAGTAGAAAGAGAAAAAGTAACTTCTTTGTTTTGTGCCACTCTGCAGCCAACAAGGTCACGAGTCTTGTCAGACAGATGGCCGTCGCTTGAGCGCAGACAGACATTCTTCATAATCTCCTCTCAGATGTTAACAACTTTCTCTAGGAAAAGGAAATGGTTGGCTTTGTTTATTATCAGAATTAAGTTATCATCTCTCGCCCCCCCCCCACCAGCATTAAGCCGTGCAGGCAGTTTGTTATTAGGTTTCAAGCTCGGCATCCTTGGAGTTTGGAGTCCAGCCACAGCACGCGCATTAAAAAACTCACGAGCTGCATAATGGTAATACTGGTATGCACAAATTAGTAGAAATGAGACTGGGCAGAACAAGGTCTCATTTTATGAAGACCAGATTTAACTGGCACGTCTTTAGCTCTTGTGTCTCCATTTTTTTTGGTAGTTGGTCATTACATAAATTAAAAAAACCAAAAAAAAAAAAAACCACCCCGCCTACATGGAAACAGCCCTGCTGGAAGCAAGCATCAAACAGCTAAAAGGATGAGTCATTGATTTTTTGGCTTGTGCAAGTACCCATTCTTCTCTGTTTCCTCGCAAAGGGTCAGTTTGGCAGAGCTGCTGGAATAGCTCTGTTAGAGCCCAGACTGTAAAAGCCAGTGTGCTCCGTTTCCTCTGGAGATTGTTATGGATAGTAACGGGGACCAAAACACACCCCAGCTGCTCCATCCCTCCCATCCCAGTTGCTGGTGATTAGTAGTGTAAGATGTGGTCTGAGGCAAAGCACGCTTCCTGCTCACTAATGATGTGGCTTTAGATTATTGGTGACTAATAGCGACAGAGTATTTATAACTAAATATAAAGTCACTGAGTGGGCACTTGATCTGTTCACTTTTTTTTTGGAGTCAGATGTTTTTGTAGTAACCCCAGTTTTGCCACAAGGGTGCACTGAAGGCCTAGTTTGTCTTGATTTGACTTTCAAACTAGTTCTAATGAACCTTTGTGGTCACCTCTTTTATTAACATATTTGCAAGGAAACGAGTATTTTTGCAGACGTTTGTGTGGTCTCGATCATTTACATATATCATTCATCAGGATGCAGGTTTTCATGTTTAGGTGCACTTGCTGCAAATATGACTAGAATGCTTCCTCTTTCCCCGCTGGTCTAAATATGTGTTTTCACGTCGCCTGGACATTGTCAGTCTCTCGCTGCTCAAGGCAAGTGTAGCGCTTTCATAGCCTTATCTGGAAGTGACCAGACTCTCAGGAGCTCCTCACACAGCCATGCAGAGGTTTTTTTTCCACCCCTCTCACTCTCTCTGTTGCTACTGTGGGCTGCTTGTTGTCGGTAAATAAAGGAAGTAGGGAGTTTCTAAATTCATAAAATGCAGGCCTTACAAGGGCACAATGACTTTATAAAGTCACAGATGAGATCAAAGGACTTTAAGTGCTTTATGGCTTTCACACTTAACTAGCTTCAAACTGGCTTGAAATGAGTGATTTTCTCTCGGTTTCTCAGTGGAATGACAGCTTTAGTGGCTTTATTCAGTGGCTGTTAGGTGATAATCACTGATATCTGATATTCATATCAGCCATTGACCCACTGAGCAGATTGGAACACTTGCATAACATGTTAATTGAGATCTGTGCTGGGCATGCTTCAGCTAATGTGGGCAGCAAAGAGGCGGCCATCTGTTAAGGGTAGGAGAGGGTATTGAATGGAAGCTTTCTGATCAGCTGACAGAACATGGGATGTCCCCCTGCTGTCATCTGATGGGGGCAGGCCTCAGCAATCTTAAATGTCAGGCACCCGAAAATTACAACTGCCTCCACAAATGCCAGTGGTGCGTATCCTCCAGCTCTTTGGTGATGTCGAACTGCAGATTTAGAAGAATTTTAAATGAAGGAGACGTTTATGCAAGGGAACCTTGAGGTTGCGTTATCCCCACTCTCTGTTACATTGTGTTAAGACGGAGTGAAACAGATGTTCCTGTGCTGAATTTACTCTGCGAGCAGAGGGAGGGCAGTGGCAGACAGGAGGCGGGGAGATGTGCAGCTTGAGCCAATCGGTGGGGTTTCCTTTCCAGACTGGCCTCCTTTTACAGGCTGCTGACACCAGTGCTATATTAAAGTAACATCACCCACAGCTGCACCTGACAAGTCACAGCACTGACACTCCTGAGAGCAGGGGGAAATGCGCTGAAGTCTGGCCACACTTGCAATTTGCATCACTCGCAAATGGGAACATTTCTTTGCTGAGGCTCGGTGGAATTCACAGCTTTTCTACTCTCTTCTATCGAGTGTTAGACCTGCTTGCTGCTGGCTCTGTGGTTTGTAGAGTAGCTTGTACTCAGCACCCGCTGTGATTGTCTGTTTCTGTTCAGAACTAGAGAGGTACCTCCAAAAAAACAAATGCAATGTGGAACTTGACAGAACAGCTGAGGTTTGTTTTTCTCGCATAGTTATATTTTTTACCCTCTCACTGAAGGCATCCAGCTTCCAGAGGACCAACTCCTCCCTAAAAGACACCTTCAAACACAGGCGGCTGGATTTTTTTTTTTTTTTTTTTAACCTTTACGATTTTGTTTATCTAGCAAATGGAGTGACTCTTACCTGGGGCAGTTTATGGGGCTCTTTTTGTGATGCGGATGGTCATGGTCAAATTTAGCTTAGAGCCCACCACCCACTGTGTTCCATGAAGAGGTTTGGCAGCTTGAGGAGAAGCAAGAAACGGAAGGAGCAAGATGAGCTAGGCGGGAGGCATCAGTCCGAGGCGTCCTACCTGTCTGGTAATGTGTAGAAAGACATTCAAAACAATTTCCTCTAACATTTAATTTGCTTATTATTTAGTAATTTAAAGTCAGAAAATAGTGAAAAAGAACCATTAGGATTTTTGCTGGCCAACAGCCCAAAACC